ACATTTGAACAAATTGAAAGATACAGATGGAAAATGGAAAAATGAAAGACTGGGAGCATTCCCGGTTATTAATAAGTGATATGCGTATATGCTTTAATATCTTTAGAAAGTATTTGTAAAATCGTGTATTTACAAAAATTGTACATAAATATTATAATTAATTACTTGATGTTCTCTCTTAATTTTTCAAAGAAAAGAAATATGCAAGAGACGAATGACCCAATTATTGTGTGTATTAAACTAAAACATTGTACATTGTAAACATAAATGATACATACCCAAGTGATTACACAGCAGCTCATGAGTCTCGAGATCCGGATAGTCAAATGTGTCTCTGCAGAAGAGCACCTTGGTGCCTGGTGTCGCGGTGAAACCCCCTAACGCGGCCGCGATGGACGAGCACAGCCAGGAAGGCTCGGCACCTTCGAGTCTACGTAGAAGTGCCCTATAGCGGCAATATCTAGGATATGAGAGTACCACCACCTTCGTTTGGAAGCTGTCCGATCTTTTCAAAGAATTCAGATTGCTTTCGTATTCCTTCTGCTGTTTCTCGACGTCCGAGAAATCGATCCCCGGATCCGTCAGCACCTGTGGCTGCGGCATCTCGTATCTAAGTGGACTAGTCTCCGGGGACGACGTCGGGGTCGTTGGATAGGACACTTCCCGTCCCCACGACCATTCTAACGTAGGTGAAAGCCATGTGACTAGGTCGTGCACGCGGACGACTACTTTTTCTGAAATCGTCAGCACCTCGTCCTGCAAAAAAAAAAAAATAGTATTTCTCAATATAATACAATGTGTGAATTATGGACATGGAATTATTTAAAAAGTATTTATCATTAGGGACATTATCATCTGCGCAGATAAGTTAAATCGAAATCAGTAATAAATAAATATATAAACATGTATAACATATACTAGAAAAAATAGTTAATTATTATACTGTTTTCTCGTTCGAAAGCGAGAAAGTAGAGTCCAATTCATAAAATTCCAACGATGAGTAAAAAAATTGCTATATATTTTCTACGAACTTCCTCCGCTTTATAAAATTAAGAAATGATAAAATTGTATGTCGAAAAACGATAAAAATTATGAAGAATGTGAATTATGAATCCAGAATGTCAATTCATATCAGTGTAAACAGTCAAATGAAAAATATATTATTGATATATCTAGTAATAGTATCATTATATTATATACAGTACATAATAGTCGATAATGACAGATGCTTTTCTAAATCGAAAGAATATAAATGTTATAGCCTATTGTATGAAGCCTGTACTAGAATAAAATAGTACATTTTCGAACATGATACAATATTGAATCAAATCAAATTTGAAGTCACTTTTCAAGGTTCAAATTTAATTTTTTCCTGTTTGTTCTGGTACTCTAAACTCTTCTTACAATGAGATTAATTAAACTTGAACCTTAAAATTAAATTTAAATCTTATTTCGTTAAAAATTGTATCATTTTAATCCATATTATAATTATTCTATATATACTATAATTATTCTGCTATTTCATTTTGTAAATTGTATAAAATTAACAAAATAATATAAATAATATAAATAATATTCATCAACGTTATATATTCGAAAAGTCTTGGATCTCTTAAATATCTTGAAAAGTAAGCATTTTTGAGAAAAATGTTTCATACAAAAGTTGTATAATTTAAAATGTCTATTTACTGATTTTATCGGTTTAACTTTAGGTGGCACCAAAATTAGGTCAAGATCAAATCGATTTTTTTAAATGAAATATTCTATTTTCAGAATCTAATAATACTGAGTATCAAGAGCTTTTCAAAATACTATAATGAAGTTATTTTCCATTAAGTACTTTTTACAAGTTTTAAGAAACTTGTGAAAAGTACTTGAAAGTTACACTACCGCCGGCATTAGAACTATCAAAGGTTGGTAGTTTGACCGACAGTTAAACCTTTTAAATGTTGTTCAGAATTGTGACTTGGATAATATTTGTCAAGATCAAGGCTCATTAGAGGTACCTCTTATTTTCATTTTTACGTAAAAATAAATTTTTAGCAAAAATAAGAAAAATAATCTTCAAATAATCTTTAATCTTCACAAATGTTATCCAGAATATGATGCTGAACAATATTTAACAGGTTTTAACCATAAAGGTTCTAGCAGGTTAGGTACGTTGGATAATGCTAATGTCGATATGTATAATCGGCAATATTGTAATTTCCGAGCTTTATAACTTGAAAAGTACTTAATAAAAAAGTACTTAATGAAAAATAACTTTATTAAAATGTTTTGAAAAGCTTTTGACCGGCTATTCTGATTCTGAAATAAAAAAATAGAATGTTTCGTTTAAAAAGATTGATTGAAAATCGATTTGATCAATAAATAGACCATTTTAAACTATACAACTTTTGTATGAAACATTTTTCTCAGAAAATCTCTTTTTAGATATTTAAGGGGGTCCGGGACGATTTTCAAATATTTTGAATATCTCGCTGTATTTCATATTTTGATATTCAAAACTATTTTCATTCTCATGACTTTGTTGCAGGTATTTAAATTTTACAGTTATTAAAATATAATTAAATTATTTTGTTTTCTCCTAGAGAATATATACCTATATAAAATATCTAACTAATATCTAACGTTAAGTACTTATATCTCTATTATTCCAAATAATATAAAGAATAAAATTGTAAAATTTCATAATTTCGAGAGTCATAATGTAATGACAGTATTTTTGATGTATATGGAAGCGCATGAAGGAGAGACTAAAAAATAACTCAATTTTTTTTAATGAAACATCTGATTTTTTAAAAATAATATTTCTCTATTGTTATTTAATTATTTTACAAGTATTAAGATCAGTTTAGCAAAAATCAATAAATTATAAAATATTTGATATATTTTATTCATATTTTGATACACATATAAATAAAAATTAAAAAATTATAATCGGTAATCTATTGATATGATTGATTATTTTGCATAAGATATACTATAATATGTTATAATGAAAAAATCTTGTTGAATTAATTGGAATTCTAACAAAGTCAAACAAAAAGTCAAAAAACAAACAAATCAAATATTTATAGTTAAATCTATCAAGCATTCTTCAATCGAGATAATCAGAAATCTCTGATTTATATGATTAGAATTTATTTTGAATATGTTTCTTGTTGGTACAAAAAGAACATTTTTCTCAATAGAATTTTAGTTTTCTAGAAAATGATTTATTAATGATAACTGAGAAAGAGAGAGAGAGAGAGAGAGAGAGAGAGAGAGAGAGAGAGAGAGAGAGAGAGAGAG